CGATCATATTACCGATAATTGTGAATTTGTGATGAATAGTGAAACGACGAAATCCAAGACCTGGATTTTAATACCTGGTTCCCTTTTTGCCTGGTTTCCATATGGGGTAATGGGAAAATGGTCTTTCTCAACGGCCAGTTTATGATAGTTTATACTTGCAAACCGCATATAAATCATGAGTATTCTCTAGTTATAATCACTCCGCGTATTTTCAGTTCTAAAATTTTCGGCTGATGAGAAAGATCGTGACTCAATCTTTACGACCGTTTATACGACCATATGGAAACCAGGCTTAATTAAACTCGAATAATTTTTCGTTTTCCTTGGGAGTTCGAGTTATTGCTGGGATTCTACTGTTTGAACAATGTCCGTCTAATGTCCAAGGAGATTAGCGTCGCGTTGGTTTAATCACTTGTTTGACATTTCTTTGTGTTGTAAAATATCCTTTAAGCCTTTTATGCTGATATTATTTGCATAGCGATGTTTGCAAATAGACTAAAAGGATTATTTTTTGCGAACAAATAACTCGTAAACAAATTTAATTAAAGCTGTGTTATGGGACCCTTGTATGATGCTAATGTAGCCTAAAGGCCCTGTTACACGGTGCAATTTTTCATGCAACTTGTCTCGCAATGTTTAAAAAAGATTTTGACAATGCATTGCAAGAGGTGTCACACGCGCGCTGCAATGATTTTCATGCAACTCGCAACGACAGGAGACAGAGGCATGCGAAGAGACTAGGGAGAGGCGCTATTTGGCGCCACATTTTAATTAAAGTAAAGCGTGTACTGGGGAGAGCCAATAGGAACTCTCCAAGTTATAAACATTGCGAGACAAGTTGCACGAAGCCATGTTACACGCTGCAATGCTAAAAATAATTAGTGCAATCGTTGCCAAAAGTAGAACCAACTTCTACTCTGTGCAATGCGTCATGCAACTTGTCTCGCAACGATTTTCACCATTGCAAGGCATGTTAAACGGTGCATTGACTCGTGCAACTTGTCTCGCAACGCCATTGCGAGACAAGTTGCATGAAAAATTGCACCGTGTAACAGGGCCTTAAACCATTCCTACAGCGGCAGGGGTGGCCTCGACCCACTGTCTTCTGAAGAGGCTTTATGTCACTTTATTTATACCTGGAAAATGTAAGGCTTTCAACTTGGACTCATGTCAGCCTTTGTCAGCCCTGCAACATTTACTGATCTGCCTGGGGGGATGGTGAGGTAAAGATGGCATGGGGGAGGGGTAGACCTCAACCTGAATACGTGATAATCTGTGCATCTTTCACTGGCCTGGCTAGGTGGGTGGTGAGGTAAAGGTGGGGGAGAGGGGTAGACCTTAACCTGAATACATCATAACATGCTGAGACATGACTCATTTTGTCTTTGCATCTTTTACTGACCTGCCTAGGTGGGTGTTGAAGTAGGTGGGGGAGAGGGGGAGACCTTAACCTAAACACATCTGAATGTGCCATGACACAACTTGTGTTGTCCTGTGCATCTTTCGCTGACCTGCTTAGGTGGGTGGTAGAGGAAAGGTGGGGGAAAGGGGTAGACCTCAACCTGAATACATCATTAAATTGTTTGCCAATACTTTTCAATCTAAAATATTTTCAGCGAGAAAAAGTATCCATGGTATATATCGTCAACCAGTCACGTGGACACAGAAGCTTGATAATATCCATGCTTGTTTTCAATTCTTGACTTCTGAAGGAATCAGAACAACAGGCATCTCACCTGAAGGTCAGTCTTACCTCAACACGAAATAAAGAAGAAATTTGTACCTCTAAAACCCCGTTCACACGGTACCGGACGAATTTGGGACCGGTCCTTTTTCGCCTGTTTACACGCGAATTCGTCCTGTTAAGGGGTCTCAAATTCGTCCGGTTCCGCGAAAGAGGACGAATTTCAGCCCGGTTCCAAATTCGTCCGGTACCGTGTAAACGGGATCTAATAAATTATGCTTTGCTACATTTTAACTTTAGTCTTGCATTCCTTAAGCCTGGTTTCCATATGGTCGTAACTGTCGCGAACGTGTTGTAACTGTCAGAGTACACGCGTAAAAATCTCACATTTTGTAGCAAGTCTGTCAACAAGCCGTCAACAAGTTGTCTTCGCAATGCTTGTCCCAAGTTGTCAACAGGTTTGGAACAAGCTGTTAACAACTTGTAACAACCTTGTTGATATTATCAGACTTGTTGCGAGATTGTTCCAGCAAGTCCGTTACAGTCATGATATAACAATATTGTTACAACCTTGTGTCGTCAACCTTGTAGGCTAACATTCTTGTTATATCATGACTGTAGCAGACTTGTTATAACAACCTTGTAACAGTCGTGATATAACAATATTGTTACAACCTTGTGTCGTCAACCTTGTAGGCTAACATTCTTGTTATATCATGACTGTAGCAGACGTGTTATAACAACCTTGTAACAAGTCTGATAATGCCATCAAGCTTGTTGCAAGTTGTCAACAGCTTGTTCCAAACTTGTTACAACAACTGAGAACAAGCAGTGCGAACAAAACTTGTTGACAGTTTGTGAACAGATTTGTGACAACTTGTGTGCAGACCTGTAACAACTTGTGCGTTTTTACGTGTGTAATGTTCGCCACCAAATGCAAAGATTGACAACATGTGGAAACATGTAGCAACAACGAGTTTTTCTTCTTAATTCATTGATCTATACAATGAATTTATAGGTTTTAAATTTAAAAGATGCTGTTCCCAATTACGTTTCTAAATTTGGATTAATGCATGGGCATGGAACTTGCAAAGCCAACTTCACAAGTTACTAAAGTGCCGGAGTACTGAACTATAAAGCGATGCCAAAATACTGATCATAATTTTTTAGTGTTTTACTAATAAAGACGTGACAACGGATCATGAACGTACGTATGCGTAGGTCTTAAAAGCTTTAATAAATATTTCCTCTATGTTGGCCATGTTCTTTGGTACGTAAGTATAAAGTTGGTTTTGCAATTCTCACGCCCAAAATATCCTAAATATTTTCAAATATTGGTGCTCAAATCATGACTCCCAATCAAAGAATGAAATTAACTTTCGATCGGGTGATATGGAGAATAATTTATTTTTGTGTTTTAGATATCATCGAAGGCAAATTACGAAGTATCCTAAGACTGTTTCAATGTCTGGAAACACATTTTGAGGTGCTTACTTACAGTGTATCACAATTTGCGTGCCCAATGCTTTTCAAATGTCAACCTCGTCCCCAGGGCCTTTTGAGGAAGAAGGCGAAGGTCTCAAAAGGCCCTGGGGACGAGGTTGTTCAAATGTAGGACAGAATATCATTATATAACAACTACAGTGAAACACGCAATTTGATTGGTCTTAGAATGTTAGGGTTTGTAATCCAAGTGATTAATATATACATTTTCGTACGCCGTTAATTTTTTGTACCGCTTGCGAACCAAGCACCTCAGATCTCAAAACAATAAATTCGAATGCTTTTCGTTTAAATTCTTTGCTCTATTTGAAATATCTTGGGTTTACATTTAATTTGTAAACAAACTGTAACAGCATATTATGAAGACACGTAAATTTTGCCCACTTTATTTTACTCTAGTGTTGTGTCTTAATAATAAGTTTAACCGTTGTTTCACTGTGCGGTTATTGTATAAAACAATTATAAAATAACATGTATATAACGCGTGCTCTGATTGGTCGAAACCCGTGTTTGGATCAGGCCATCCAAACACGGAAGACTATCGTGTTGTTGTTA